ACAGTTGAGCCTGAAATTTTTGAACAAGCAAGCGTTATGGAAGGATGGATCTTAGCTATGAATCAAGAATACGATGCACTCATGAGAAACCAAACATGGGAGTTAACCCCAAAACCTAGTGATGTGAAACCTATTTCATGTAAGTGGGTGTACAAAGTGAAACGAAAGGCTGATGGATCAGTAGAGCAACTGAAAGCAGGGTTGATAGCACGAGGTTTCTCACAGGAATATGGGTTGGATTATGAAGATACCTTCAGTCCAGTGGCTAAGCTAACCACTATGCGAGTTATATTGGCTTTGGCAACAAGCAAGAAGTGGAACTTGTGGCAAATGGATGTCAACAACGCATTTCTTTATGGGGAGTTAGATCGAGTTATATACATGGATCAACCGTTAGGTTTTGTAAGTGGTACAAATCCTAATCATGTATGTAAGCTCAAGAAAGCACTTTATGGTTTAAAACAGTCGCCTAGAGCATGGTTTGGAAAAATAGCTGAATTTCTTGAGTACAATGGCTTTGTTATAACCTCAGCTGATGCAAGTTTGTTTGTGAAAAGGAAGAACAACAAGATGGCAGTTGTGCTAGTGTATGTGGATGATCTTATCATCACAGGTGATCACACTGAGATGATTTCACAACTGAAAGAGAATCTTTGTATCCGTTTTCATATGAAGGATCTGGGCAAACTAAGTCACTTTCTTGGTCTGGAGTTGAGTTATGAAAGCACTTGCATTGTTCTACATCAAAAGAAGTACTCCTTTGATTTACTCAAGAAATTTGGAATGTTGAACTGTAAACCCACTATGACTCCAATAGATACAAATGTCAAGTTGAGCTTGGATGTTGGAAGAGAGCTGGAAGATCCAACAATGTACAGGAAGATAGTTGGTAGTTTAATCTACTCAACCTTAACCAGGCCAGATTTAGCTTTTACTGTGGGTGTTCTCAGCCGTTTTTTGCAGAAACCAAGAAAGCCTCATCTGCAGGCTGCTCGAAGGGTGTTGAGATATATCAAATATACAATGAGTTATGGTGTCATGTTCAAGAAAGATACAAGCTGCAGATTACAAGGTTATTGTGATGCTGATTATGCAGGATATGTTGATACTCGAAGGTCCACTACCGGATACGTTTTCATGTTGGGATCCAATCCTATATCTTGGGTTAGTAAAAGACAACCAACCGTGTCACTTTCAACCACTGAAGCGGAATACCGTGCTGCAACCATGGTAGCTCAGGAATGTGTTTGGTTGGTGCAATTGTTGGAGAATCTTAATCAAGAAGTTGATTACAGTATACCACTGTATTGTGACAATCTCTCATCAATTAAGCTTGCTGAAAATCCCACATTTCATACAAGGACCAAACATATTGAAATTCACTATCATTTTATTCGAGAAAAGGTGCTTCAAGAAGAACTGGATTTGAGGTATGTTAGAACCACAGAACAGCTTGCAGATTGTCTCACTAAGGGTCATCCTGGAGCTAGATTTATTGAACTATGTGATGAGATTGGAATGGTGGAAGCAGGTGTTGAGGGGGAGTATTGAACGTACAACACCTCAAAGCATTAGAAGACCTGGTCCACTTTTATTATTTTATGTTTTTCTTTATTCTCTGTTTAGTTATTTCCTTAGTCAAAACTGTTTAGAAGTTATTTTCAGTTTCCTAGCTTGTTGATCCACGTTCCTTGTAGTGTCTATAAGGTGTGTGATAATTTCCTTTTGTATTCAAGTCTTCAGAGAATAATACACATCAGTTGTGTGTAACCAAAACTTCCTCTGTATTTTGCTTTGCCTAATCTGCTGTGTGCAAGTGTGTGTGTGTGTGTGTCTAATAGGCCCAATGTTAACAGACCCCACTCATTTTTAAGGACTTTCATGATTTAGTATGTGGAAGAATGGTTTTAGGTGGGTATACGCAAGGACATCTAGAAATATGTATAAGACCACAATGTTTGTCAAACCCTAGAAGCCTTTTTTTTGGAACGGGAACTTCCCTAACGAAACGAAGTTTAATTTTCGCACACCGACTAATCCTTTGCTGCAAACTTGAGGTTATGCCTTATACACCGGAGTCATTGTAAAAGAATCTCCATAGCCACATGGGTTGAATAGTACCAAGATTTGAACATGTACCAATAGGTTATCCACCATATCCTTCATATACTTTATCAAGTCACCACAACCCAAATGGTTAACCCAAAAGGCTTTAAGTTCACACATAATTAGTCTCCTTCAACCCTTATCAATTTTGGCACAAGTATGAGCCGAGATCTCCATGGACTTCATTGAAGGATTTCCTTAATCTCAAGGTTTCGATACTATTCTTATGGTGGTCAACCATCTTACGAAATATGGCCACTTCTTAACAGTCAAACACTCGTTCACAACCATTCAAATTGCAACCAAATTTATGAAAGAAGTTGTGCATCTCCATGGGTTTCCTTCATCTATAGTTTCTGATAGAGATAAGGTATTTACAAGCTTGTTTTGATGTGAATTGTTTTGAGTCCAACGTACAAGCATGCAACATAGTAGAGCCTGCCATCCACAAATGGATGGGCAGGCAAAAAATGTCAACAAGGTCGGGGAAATGTACATTTGTTGCTTTATTCAAGGAAGCCTAATAACTTGGTCCAAATGATTGTCTTGGTCAAAAATTTTGCACAACACGACCTTTCATACAACCACTAAGTATACTCCATTTAATGCCTTACATGGAAGAGACCCACCGCGTGTTCATCAGCTTCAACAGGATTAGACGGGGGTATTATCTCTAGAAGACCCGTTGCTGGAATCAGATGCCATATTAGATGAATATAAGGGCCATTTACTTTATGCTCAGTAGAAAAGTGAAGACAGATGTTAATAAGAAGCAGAACTAAGTGAACTTTTCAAAAGGGGATTGGTTGTACTTGAAACTACAACCGTATAGGCAACGACCAATAACCATTTCAAAAATTAGTTGCTCGTTTTTACTAGTTTTTTTTATCACTCAAAGGATATGTGATGGGGATTATAAGTTACAAATTACTAGACACAACTAATATTATGCATGTATCGTAGTTACGAAAGGCCATGGGTAACCAAGTGATAGCTCCTTTATTACCCGATCAGTTCACTGTAGAGTTCCAACTAAAATTGGAGTTGGAGAATATATTGGGGGTGAGTAATATGACGGTATCTACAGAGAATTGAGGTTTTGAGTAAATGGAAGGGCATTCTCGACTTTAACTCCACCTGGGAAGATTTGGATAACATTCATAGTACTTTTCCAGAATTTGACCTTGAGGACAAGGTTGTGGCAGGGTAATTTCATGAACCCACTAATACAATTTATTATGTACAAAAGAAGAAAGAACAAGACACGACCATTAGAATATAGGACCATAGCAGACCATCTGAATATGCCAAACAAATTTGAATAACATTCATGGTACTTTTCTAGAATTTGACATCGAAGACAAGGCCAATCTTTGGGGTGAGGTAATGCCATGCACCCTTTACTACAATTTATTACGTACAAAAGAAAAAAATAACAAAACAAGGCCATTAGTAGATGGGACCACACCGGCCATTAGTAGATGGGACCACGAGTATTTTAGGAATTAATCATAAGTTGTTATTGTTGTCGGGGTATTTTAGGTAGTGGGATGTATGTATGAGGAATTTCGTAATTTGATCGATATGTCTTATTAGACTACTCGGAGTGGGCAACGCCCCACTCCTGTTATTACGCCTCATAACACGTGACAACGTCAGTGAACACCGCCCCACCCTCCCGTTATTACATGTTAAGGGCTTTCACGTTACTTCCCGTTACCACCATCACATATGGTAATGGCGTTTTTTTGTTTTCTTGCCTTGTAACTCGTGTGGGCGTTGCCCACACCCACCCCTCTTAGATACCCTTATCTTCTCTAATTGCTAACTTTCTATCATTGTCTTTACATTTCAATCAAGAAAGCTTTTGAATCCATTGGTGGTGTGTGAGGTTTCTCTGTTATCACTTTAAATCTATAACATCAACAAATTAAAACTAGTTGGACTTTTCACCTTCAGATAATTTATTAAAAGATGTTATAGGCCCCTATGCAACAAGAAAATATATTTTAATTAAGATGTGGACTATTTTCAAACAAGAGATGAAGTTGACTATAAATTGTGTTAATAAGTAACGGTTGTCAATTAAAGGGTTAAGTTTACTAAGGCGGTGTTTCTTTTTCAGCAAAAGCTCTTCTTGACCTCTTATGTCTACGCCGCGTAAACAACACGCAGTCATTTGGTTTCGCAGACTGTTTGTTTTTTAGAAGATCGCAGACCTAAAAAGGTCTGTGTTTCCTCTTCTTGATGCAGATATGGACCTATGTCTTCTAATATCTTCTAGTCTTTTTCTTACCTCTTCCACAATCTTAATTTGACTTTTATATATATATATATATATATATATATATATATATATATATATATATATATATATATATATATATATATTGGTAATTATTGGTGTCGTTTTCTATTTTTTATACTTTTGTCCTCCAACTTTCTTTTTATTTATTTATTTTCTACTTTATTTATTGTTTTTTGTATCATAATTATGTACTAACCTAAATGTTTATGTATATGATTATGTACATGTTTTTCGATTCACGTAATATATTTATCCAACTAATTATGACATAGTTTTATAGATATTTTCATTTTTGAGCACATTTACATCTAGTAGGTAAATTTGGTAACTTTTTTTTTATATTATTTAGGATTGAAACAATATCATCGATCAATTAGTTCATATATATAATATCAAAAATCTTAATGAAGCTTTATTTTTCGGTTATCATAATTTACACAACATTAATAACTAAGTTCATTTAATTTTTTGATTATTGAATCCTAACATAGTTTCAGGCCTTTGAATCATCACGTCGATTTTGTATCGGTTTTAGTTTATTATTTAAAAAACCGGTATATCTAAATCTCAATTTATTTTAACAAGATGCAGACATTAAAAAACAAACAAACAGTTTTCTTCTTGCTAACCGCAGACATTTGATCCACCTCTTCTACTGTAGAGGTTTGCAAATGTGGTCTGCAGACTACAGATATTTTGTCCCCAAAAAAACAAACAACAACTAACTTTATCTTCCCATCCAAGTCCCCTAACTATTTCAATACAATCTTTTTGACCGATTAAAATACAATAGAATAAACATCAGTCCCTATGCTTTTAAGTTATTGCCATTTTTGACCGGTTAAGAATAAGCTAGCATTGGTACCCCTTATTATTTTTTTTTTTAAAGAAGAGGATGAATGGTTTCAATATTGGGCTTCACAACCAAAAAACAATAGATATAGATTAACTGCAAAAATGCTCTCTATGATTAGCCTTTAAAAAAGTGGTTCTTGTTCCTAAAATTAAAAAAATTAAAAAAAAAAAAACATCCTTATGACAAGGTTTCATTGTGGTTTTGGTTTGTAAGGCTTTCATCATTAAAAGAGAACCATTAAATATATATAAAATAATCATTTTACCCCTTGCATGTTTTATATAAATCAAAATGGGCTCACCATAAACCATCCCACCACCCCACGGTCAAACATAATCTCAGATACCCCAAGCGATCTCAAATCTCACACCTTTTCCACCGTACATCCCATGGAACCGATTGTATCCACCAACAATCCTCTCACCGCCTTCCTTTTCTTATCCCCACAAGAAATGAGAAGAAAAAAACAACTGGAACAAGTACGAGCAAGACATCAAAAAAAAAAAAATCAAGATAAGTTTGTGTCTTTGAAATCTGCTATCCCTTCCATCTTCATCTACCAGATCCAAGACCCACCTAGATCAATTTTTCAAGCTAATCTCTCTATAATCTCAATTATGTTGGTTAAGCTTTAAGGCGAATCGATTCCAAACTTAAGTTACTGGTAATATTTGGTCCAAGTCATGTTTAGAAAAATATTGTTCGTACTAAATGTCAAGTTTTTTTTATTTTAAGTTATTTCGGGTTGTGGGATTTTTCTAGTTGATACTTTTAATTGATAATTTATTAAGTTTGTTATTTTTTACTAAAAAGTAATTAGTGACATTTAATTTGATTTATCAACTAAAGTTAGGTGATGAAAAATTAGTCAAATTTATACATGATCTCTAATGAAAAAAACACTTTTTGTAGTCATTATATAAATTAAAAAAAGTTGGTCATTCTCATACATGACTTATATTGCTTACATTAAGTCAAGAAATGGTTTGTCCTTTTTTTATTCAAGAGTAAATTACATGAATGGTCCTTATGGTTTATAGGTAATCTGCATGTTTGATTCTTAACTTATTTTCTTAACTCGGTAGGTTCCTACTGTTTGTTTTTGTTACGCGTTTGATCTCTATCTTACCTAAAAAGACTATTTTATCCTTGATTTTTTAATTTATTTAAATAAACACACCCCTAACCCCACCTCTTCACCTTACCTTACCTATCCTACCATTTTTTTCTATTTAAATAATAGCCTTTTTAGATAAGACATGGAGCAAACGTGTAACAAAAACAAATAGTAGGGACCAAGCGTGTAACAAAAACAAACAATGTGGACCTTCCGAGTTAAAAAAAAAAATAGTTAGGGACTAAGAACACAAATTATCCCAAACCATAAGGACCATTCGTGTAATATACTATTTATTCAAAAAGCGGGAGCTTAATCATTAATTAAGTAAGAGAGTGAAATTGAAATCTGTACCTGCTCGTGCTCTCGGCTACTCTCTTCTGATTCATTATTTCCCTTGTTTTCTCCAGAGTAATGTATAGAGGTCTCTAGAAGTGCCCTCAGATCAAAATTGGTGGTGATAGGTGTGAATACATTTCTAAACCTCTTACATCTTTCAATCTTTATGCTTTCAACAGCTTGAAAGCCATGGATGAGGGGATGCGAGTTATCTGCACCTTTTATCCTCCACACCTCTCTTAGCTTCCCTAATTCCCTTACTTCAATTCTTCTCAAGTTGGTGTTGTTGTCTTCTTGCCCAATTGCACCATCACAATCCAAGTCGATGTTGAATAACGATTCAATGGAACCACAATTCTTGACTTCAAGCTCTTCAAGATGATGCAACAGAGACATGGGATTGTACGGAAATAGATTCACAAGTTTATCACAATTTCTCACTTTAATCTCTCTCAACTTAACTTCCTCACTCCTACTAAATTTGCAAGGCCATATCTCCTTCAAATTCCACATACTACCAACATGCAATTTCTCTAACTTAGGAATCAGAACCTGCAAGATAATCATTTAGTAATAGTCCCATCCAACAATAACACCCCATACTAGCCCTGTCGAAAATACCCGATACCCGAATTACCCGGTCGATTTTTTCGGGTATCGGGTAAATCGGGTCGGGTAAATCGGGTATCGGGTAAATTTTTCCGGGTAATCGGGTTACCCGATTTTTTTTCGGGTCGGGTAAAGGGTACATTTTTTGGATTTCGGGTATACCCGAATTACCCAAATTATTTTAAAATTTCATTTTTTATAGAGCTTGTACTATATAGCAGGTATTTGATCACGCTTAAACTAATATCATTATTATAAAACATAAATATATTTATTATGACAATACGACACTAACAATATTAAAAGTAATTTTTATATATCATCACGTTCTTTAAAACTTAACTGTTTTCTATATTATAGTGTTTATTACAACTAACAAACTCATTATCTTGACGAAACTTTAGAACATGGCAAAACTTATGACTACATTTATCTTAAATATTTTAAACTTTTAAATTAAGATCTTTAGGTATTTGTTTTTTTAATATCTTATTAGATTAGATTAAATCGTTACAAAAATACTTGATATCTCATGTATTATTGAGTAGAAAATGTCAATGTTCAAAGCTTGAGTAACTTCGTTTATGTATCATTTGTTTATATAAACAAGACTAATAAGGCACGACGTATTTATTTCATTAAATTTATTTTTGGGTGAAATTCAAAAAAAAAACTCATATATTTCGGGTAATACCCGAATTACCCAAACCCGACCCGATACCCGAATTACCCAAACCCGAATTAAGTTTGGGTAGGGTAACGGGTAATTTTTCTAACATGAAAAACCCGAATTACCCGACCCGAATTACCCGAAACCCGAAAAAATTACCCGTTCAACACCCCTACCCCATACAATCAAATTACTATATATTTTGAAAATTTTAACTGAAAAGATCTTTTGAAATGTATTAGCATTATATATATATATATATATATATATATATATATATTATATATATATATATATATATATATATATATATACCTCTTCCTTCAACAAACTGGATGCTTCGAACTTTTTCACGGGATATATGCTTGTGAAGCCTGGAATGCCGTCAAGTTTCAACTCCATGAGTTGTGGTAGCTCAATTATGTTGAAATTATCGCACAAACACGATAGCTTTGGTAGTCTACACAAAGATAAAAAGTTCAGCTTGGGGAATGTAATCGTCTCTTCTTCACTACCCCCGGTACGTATGAGTTCTTCCATATTATCACATTTGTAAACTTCAAGATGCTCAAGCTTTGACAAAGTGTTTGTAACACCATATGTGAATAGGTGTTTCAACTCCACACACTCTGAAACGACAAGGACTCTTAAATTGTAGAACGAAGAGGATTGAAGAGGTTGTGAGGATGACTTAACCTCAAGATCATTCATATCTCCCACACTTAAACATAACACCTCTGTTTTCTTAAACAACTTATTCATTTGAGATTCCAATAATTCACCTTTGTTAATAACCAACTTCAATGTGTTTTCATACGAGTGCCTGCTCTTTATGGAATCTCCATATAAATAGCACCCCACTGAGATCCGAAATCGTTGTAGCTTCTCAAATGACATATTCTTCGGATGAACATTGTTTCTAAAGAACTCGAGTTCTAATGCATAAAGATCTTTTGAAAGCTCTGCCATCTCATTGTAGTTATCATCTGTGAGGCTAATCGCCTTTCGATCTCGCTCAACCCCTGTCATATAGAGCTCCTCCAGTTTGACCAACTTTTTTAAGACACCATTATCTATACGAAGTCCATAACAATTCGTCAAATCCAGCAGCCTTAGCTTCTTCAAATTTCCGATTGTGGAAGGCAACCGGTCGATGGCAGAATCAGCAGAGCTAAGCACTTCTAGATTCGACAGATTTCCAATACAAGAGCAATCAAACATCACTAACGAGCATTTATGGAGATGAAACACGCGAAGGTTGACAGAACATTGAGGTGACGAGGGAAGCAATGGATACTTCATTTTATCATATGATATAACCTTGAGCTTTCCCATTCCTTCATAAAAGTCTTGAGGAAACCTCAAGAACTTATCTCCATGCATGAGTTTCAAAATCGTTAGGTTTGGAAATCTAAGGTCTTCGGGAAATTCAGACATACTCTTGCATGTTAGTGAAAGTCTTTTACAAGAGTCATATGTATCATCTGCATGACATTCTAGTGTATTACCATGGTTGACAATTGAAGCATGCTCCACTTCAGAATACATACCCAAAACAAAAGAACGGACCAAATCGTGCATCTTGATGCATCTAATATCATCACTTTCAAGCAACAAATTTGTATGGATGAGCCGCTCAATGGAGGTGTTGAGCCTGGTCCTTGCTTCTCTTATGGTATACACTTTTTTAAATAATTTCAATCCCCATCCATACCTTACCAACTCCTCAGTAGGAATATTGAAATCTTCTGGAAACAATCCACAGAGCAAAAAAGCGGATTTAGTCTCCTCATCTTGGAGATTGTCATAACTCGTTTTAAAAACTTTAGATGCAACATTGTCAACGTCATGGTACTCTAAACGAGACAGTGCATCCTTCCATGCATCCTTGCTTTTATCTCTTAAAGTACATGCCATGGTTTTGATGGCAATGGGTAGACCGCAACACTTCCTTACAATATCTTCTCCTATCTTATGGAGTTCATGATCAGATGTTTCTACAAACTGCCAAAATAATCTTTGTGCTTCGGAATCTATTAAAAGTCCCACGTGGAGAATCGAATTACCTTCAACCCCCATCATAGTGCAAACATGTCTGTTTCGTGATGTTAACAGGACCTTGAAGTCGACACCTTGATTTGGCAAAGGACTTAAACCAATATCTCCGAGATCAACAGTCTGCCATACATCATCCAATATTATGAGGAACTTATTCTTACCTCCATCTGATTTGGCCTTGAACCCTCGACGAAGCGTATCAGCTCTTACCGACTTATTTTTTTCGTTGAGCTCTACACTGAGGTAATATGCAATAACTTCCTGAATGGAAATAGAGTCTATCTTTTCCCCTATCACCACCTCAATAATAAAGTTAAACATTTTATTTTCTTCGGCAACCTTCTTCAGCATTTGCATCATTGTTGTCTTCCCTACTCCGCCCATCCCACATAAGGCTATCATGTGGGATTTGTGGTTCGGGTCGAGTGCTTTAAGTGCTTTTGTAAAAGTCACCTCTCTTGATTGGAACTCATTGTGTTCGGATGACGTTGTCGAGGTGGATGGCTTCATGGAATCAACCATTCCTGGAGGAATGGGGTGATCTGCCCAGTTGATCTCTCTGTATTGTCTCATGAGACTGTCGATCTCCTCATTTATCTCAAAGGCATTCCTCCCTGCCCTGTATCTAATCTTTATATTAAAACAGCTGCCAGTGTCACGAGAAACATTTTCAACTTTTGCATTAATCTTTTCTACATCACCCAACCAACCCCCGACTTGGATAGGAACCTCAAGATTGTTACTAATGTTTTGCCTCATTTTCTCCTCAACACCGTCTTTTACGACATTTAATTCTTTCATTTTGATAACCATCTCCCTCATATATATTGTGCATAAAATGAGGTAGCGTAGGTATCTATTAATGGGAACCATGAGGATCGGAACAACCTGTCTCATGATTTCATTAGCAGCTTCCATTTTTGGATATTCTTTTGATAGCACCTGCATAGTAGCCAACAATTGATCAGAGACATTTCAATGGAAATTAATAACGGATGAGGAATTGAATGTACCCTAGATTCATTAATTGCATTGTGTAAGGACCAATGATCAGAATTTTCTATCTCCTAATCCAAACTAAACTTAAAGATAAAGTTTTAAGAATTTTAATGACCATGATAGTAATAGAAATCAACAAAAATCTTGCTAGAAGTTAATGATATTTCTTATTCAAAAAAAAAATCAACAAAATGGTTTTTGATTGATTAATTATAAGAATATCAAAATATGATGATTTTAAAGATGGTGATATAGCAATTACATGCATCATTGATTCATTTCATTGAGCAAGGTTGGAACGGACGAATGATGTAATGTGTAGAAAACTACATTTAGGTGTTGTTTGTTTTTTCGAAGCGAAAATTCATGAAGTCTGCAAACCACCTCTGCAATCCTCTGTAGCAGAAGAGGTGGAACAAACGGCTGCAGCCTATAATAAGAAGCATGTTTGTTTTTTAACATCTGCAAACTGCTGCAGTAAACTAAAATTTAAATAAACTAATTTTATAAAATAAAAATAGTTCTCAACACTGAAATTTAATAATTCTAGTCTTAAAACATTGAAATAATAATAATAAGAACATGTAAAAAACAAAAATATAAAACTTTTTTCAAAAAAATCTTAAAAAAATGTAAAAGAAGCTAATAGTTTTATTCTAGAAAAAAAAACTAATTTTAAAAAACATTAAAAAAAAATAATAAAAAAAAATTAAGAAAGTATTGCAAACGTTGTCTACAAAGTTCATAAAAAATTACACACGTTAAAAAAGATATAATTGAAATTGAAAATATTATTTAATAAAACGGTAAAAAAAAATTAAAAAAAAGAAAACAAGTTAAAAAAAATCATGGAAATTATAAGAATAAATTGTACCATATCCGTAAATAAAAATTTAAGAAAATCAAAGTTTTAAAAAAAAAAAAAGTTATACAAAAATTCTTAAAAAAACACTTAGAAAAAATGAAAGCCGAATAGGTTAGAAGAGGCAAGTGAAGTGTTGTGCCACGCAGCACACGCGCAAAGGTTTTTGTAGTCTGAAGTCTTCCAAAAAACAAACTGCTACGAGAGGGAAAGTGTTGTGCGTGTGCTGCGCCACGCAGCAATAAGTGGTTTGAAGAGGTTTTTATAGAAAGACAAATAGCATCTTAGTAAATCAAAATATGAATTTTAGAGTAACTTATCTTTGTGCCAACATTAAAGAAATTTTATATCATTATTCTTAATGTTGTGGAACATCAAGAAGGAAAAAAAATTAGGAAGAAATTGTAAAGAAGTACTGAACAACAACCAAAAATTAGTTTTCTTCATGTACCATTAATGAGAGTTCAAAGAGATTGAAAACAAAAACTGGAACCTAAAACCTTACTGTATGTCACCTAGAAAATTTTAATCTTTGCACTATTGGCAAATTTGGTCCCCTAACTTATTATTTAATGTCATATTCTTCAATTTTACACTTATAATTAAGTCTTGATAATTCTATTATTATAAATCCTCGTGATTTGCAACCACATCTAAGTGTTTGTGAATAGATCGAACCTTTTGCCAAGAAACATGTAATTAAAAAGAATTAATCAAGATGAAATTGAGAAAAAATTGGAATAATTTTTTCATGACTTTCCTCTATAAATTTGTTAATGTTTTCCTCACTCGTTTTTTACAACTCATTTTTACTTAAAAAAAAGAGTTAATATAAATGATATAATTTTTAATTTGGTTATTAAAGTTTAATAATCATTAAAAATGACATTTCTTAAACGGTCATATAAGATAATATACTAATAATATTAGACATAATTGATCATCACCTTTTCATTGAATTAGAACAAAAAAATAATAAACTTTTTTCATATTACTTTAAAATAAAGTTTTTTATTTTGTATTATCCAACTCTTCTCTTAATAATTATAAAATCACGGATAAAATTAAAAACTTTGAAGAAGTTGATTGATATTATTTGTATTTAAGATCTATCTCCTCATTTGGGAAATAAGTTTTATTACACACACTTATTTAAAATACTATGAATAATACAAAAAAAAAAAAAAAAAAAAAAAAAAAAAAAAAAAGAGTGATAGTCTGGATGGGATTATCATTGTTTTTATTTGGAATACTGGAGTAAGGTTAGCATAAATAGTTTACTTATGTGATTTGTATAAAGATTTCATATCATAATGTAATGTAAATCTAAGGGTAAATAATGATATTACAAAAAGAATAAATTACACCAATGGTCCTTATGGTTTAGGATAATTTGCACGTTTGATGCTTAACTTTTTTTTTTTTTTTTTTTATATTTTTTTATTCAGAACATCCCTCAAATTTTCTTTTGTTACATCTTTGGTTACTACCAGACGTAAAAAGACTATTTTATCCTTAGTCATTTTTTTTTTGATTTTCTATTATTTATTTATCATTTTTTTTTTGGGGGTTTTGGTTTTGAGGTTTGATTTTGAGGTTTATCAAGGTATGGGTTTAGATTTGATGCTAAAGCTTGTACTGGTTTTGATCTTGAGTTTATGAATGTATGATTTCAAAATGATACCTACACTGTAGGATTTCAATTTTCGGGTTGTGCATAGGTTTCTAACGTCGGTCTCCGGTGGAACCCTAAACCTCTACATATGAAAATTAGAGTAATAGTTGAGCAAAGGTGTTAGGTCATATTTTGTTGGTTTGGGCTAGACATTTATCTGTATAGGTCTTGATAATGTTTATTCATGTATGTATGGGTGTTTAAGGTTAGGGTGGTGTTTGCGGCAGTGAACTCATTTACCATTGGTGGTTCCCTATAAATAGTATCAATCTTGTCAGACATAGTGTGGTGTATGTGTGTGTATCTAGTGTACCTGACGTTTGCGGCTAAATAGAAACGTGTGCATTTTGGATCATTTTTGCTTCTACTCCTTGTTCTCATTGATTATAGCTTATTCTTGTGTTTGATCACTAGGTGGTTCTAGATTTGGGGACTTACAAAAGGTTTCCGGCATTGATCTCCGGTGGAACCTTAAACAACTACAGACGGAAACGATGGGTGCATTTTTTTCGTCGCCAAAAGGTTAGGTTTTTTTGTTGTGTTTAGAGAAGAGAGAGGGAGGGGGAGATGGAGAGTTTAGAAGGGGTGGGGTCGATTGAACTGTAATGAAGGTAAATGGTATAGGGTGGGGAGCTTTATTATTTGTAAATTTTATAAATAATTAATAATAATAAATTAATTAAAAAGGAAATGAACAAGAGCATAATAGTCTTTTTAGGTTAGGGACTAAACGCGCAATAAAAACATGTAACAGGGACCATTCGTGTAATTTACTAAAAAACAAGCAGATTATGGTGTATAAATTGACATTAAACCTTCTTTTGGAAGATTTTTATACAGAAAGGAATGTTTGTGCAGAATGGAGAAACAGATTTCATACAATAATCTGGCCATAAATAAAGAACTCAAAAGCTAGGATACTTTAGAAATGACTGCTTTAAATTTATATGTTGATTTTCGGGTACGGATATGTCCATCCACAATTTCTTTAGTCAAGTCAAATTGTATTAGCTTTGGCCCTTAGACTATGATGTAATTGGTAAAAATAGTCGGTCTCATAATCTAAAATGAAATTGAAGATAGGAACTTGTGCCGATTTTAAACGTGATAATCAATTTTGTCTTGATTTAGTTTGGCAGTAAAAGCTTGAAAATCTTTAAAAAAAAAAAAAACTATTGAGTTTGTTAGTCTTTATAACTAATTAGCATGGCCAGTTTGTTATTAGCTTGAATTTTTCAAATTAACAGATCAATTGATTCCAAATTAAAACAATTTTGTAGTAATTTTAACATTCTCTCTCATCATCATTTACTACCAATATTATATCTGGGTTGGCTTCCTATTCTTACCCAATACCAAAATCATGCAATATCTTATGAATCATCAAGTGCGAAAGTCAGGTTCAATTTGAAAAACATGCATAAAAAACAATGGACTGTATAGAAAATGCTTGTAAATTAATACAGTACCTGGACCTTTTTTTTGTTCTTTCAATCTTCTTCTCTGAAACTCTCAAACTTTTGTGAATAACATACTCATAAGGGTATTTAAAGTGAGAAAAGCTAAAGCATCAACAGGGAAAAGCAAAAGCATCCAGAATGTTTTGTATTAGACGTTTAGGCATTGTAGGGGGTTTGGTATCCTTACTTTTTATTTATTTCAGGTCTTTTCATTATAAATTAAAGGTATATATCTTATATGAATTTTTGTGTGTCTCATAAATATAAATATCAAAATTTTGTGATTTGAAACTAATAATTAGCCATAAGTAAATGAAAAAGGTTTATTTTGTCATTAATTCAATACCAAGCAAAAAAAATATTAGATGTCGTCGTGAAACTATCAATAGAGTAACAAAGAATTCATCATTGATGTAATAAAATATAACTTGATAGTTTTAATTTTAAATTATAGTAGTAACCTACTTATAATTCTCTTCACATTGTAACAGTTTTAATTTCAACTTACAGAAATAACATGTAACCTTTTTTATTTTTTATTTTTAATGATGACAAGTATGTGACATTCCCAAGCAAAGATAATTTAGCACTGCGTATACCAAATTAGCATCCAGGCATTACAACATCAAACATATAATAAGCTTTGGAAAAACCTAAATCATAAATTTTATCAAAACTGATTTTTTAACATGTTGATTATAACTTTGATTTTATGATCTTGATTTATTTGGTCACATTTGTTGATGGTAACGCTGTAAACAAACTGAACGTTCGGCGAACTGTTCGTGAACTGTTCGGCGGGAAGTTCGTTTATATTCGTTTATTTAATAAATGAATGAATATGAACACAAATTCACATTCGTTTAATTAAACAAAGGAACATGAACAATGGTCTCGTTCATTTATTTACATTCGTGGATGT